CCTGATTCCCCTCCCTTCGAGTTTCTTCATGCAAGTGAGTAACCGATCATGTAAGTCCTCCAGCAGTTCGTCTTCGTATCGCATGTATCCATTCGCAACGTATTTGTCATAAAGCGGTGGAAACGTGTGGACTGGTACATTATTGTGACTTGATTTCCCCTTTTGATCTGTATTCCTTCCTCAAGGACATGTTGCAGAAGTAAGCCAATTGCGATTGTGTTCGCTCGGATGATGCTGCACTTCCCATTGATTTTCATCCCTCCTCCTGACGTCATCTCTTTTTGTTGGAGAACATATCCTATTCGCATGGATCTGTTTTTTCTGCCCTGCGTGATGTCTCCTTCAATAGCTGCTGTGAAATGCCTTCCGCCTTGATGATTGCTGCGCGGCTGGATCTGATCCCTTCGTCTGTTACACAGCTCCTCATACGTTGGGAGGATGTTGTCCTGGAGCTGGTCTCGTAAGTGTGTTGGGAGTGTGTGCCTAACTAGTATCCATAACTCCTCTACAGTTTTCGTCAAGCACCTATTCCCTGTTTGCAAGAAGTTTGCTGCATAAGCTATTTGAGCGCCTTTCGGGACCCGGCTGATAATTTCAAAACCTTCTGGTATCTCATCAATGTTATTCTTCCATCCTATCAGAATGACATGTATTAAATCCAGGATTTGTTCACGAAATCTCTTTTGTTTGTCCATCCAAACCACCACTCTGTGCAGTTCCCTTGCTCTCTTTTTGCCCAGAGCCTGGGGATGTGTGTGTATGGTAGGCCAGTTACGAAATGTACTGATGTCGCATTCTGTAATCTCTGCTAAATGTTGTAAAAACTCGTATGCCAATGGTTGTGTTGTTTCTTGGCGAACCTCTGATACTACCTCCTCGAGTTGTTGCCACCATGCTGTAGCTTCTGTTTCGCCGTCGTCCAATGCATTAACTATTTCCAGCAGCAGATGGATGCTTTGATTGCAGTCTCTTCGGTTATTACCGTCCTCTTCCCTTGTTGCAGATGCGAAGGGAGCCGAGTCCAGCGACGCTTCCAACCATTCTATTGGTGGATCCACGGTCTTGCTTTCTTCAATTTGAGATCGCTCAAAGATGGCTATGTTCCCTTGAACTTTGAAAGGTATGTTGCTTGAAGTGTGGCTGAATCTTTCTTGCTGATTCCCTCCTTCATCATAACAGGTGGGGTCATGTTGGAGCCACCGCCTCAAAATTACCCGGGTACAAGCCTTCGTATTCGTCTCCTCTCTCCCTTGGTCCGGTCTGGCTAGTTTCTTGTGTGGCTGAAGTTAATGTGGGCTAGCCTCCCTTTTTCCTTTCCTTGTCTTGTTTGGGGGCTTCCCCTCCTCCCTGGCTGGCCTTCTTCTCTTCCCTGTTCCTGCCTGCTCAAGTCCGAGTTTTGCCCAGATGACATTCGCTTGCAGATATTGTGCAAGGATTTCTTCTGCTTGTTCCCTTTGCTTTGGGAATGGCCAGAGTCGGATGGGCAGGTGCAGGGAGATGCCCTCGGTGTCTGGGACGGGTAAGACACTTGTCATGGAGTGGAAGCCTACTTGGGGCAGTAGTCTCCATGCCTTTGCAAAACTCTCCCAGCCTTGCCGAGCAGGAGATGTAGGTAGGGAGTTTTCTCCGGACAGCAGGGAGTTTTCTTCTGAGAGCATCTTGTCCTCCAGGTCGTGTAAGATGGCTATTGTCCCCGGTTTCATCTTGCTTTCAATCATTTCCCAACTGATGGTGGTCTGCATTTTTTCCGCTAACGAGAAATCAGATCGGGCAGACTCAAAGAGAACGTGTAGCTGGTTTATTGTTTGACACCCCCATTGGTTGCACCATGATGTTAGTTTGTGTATCAGACTGCTTTTGATATCATCATCCACCCTGCATTTCTTATTCGTTTCTTTCTCTAGATACCGAATCGCCGCCCTTCCCAAGATGGGTGCTGGATGGGGGAGTTGGAGGCCTCCTCTGTCCCAAGGTAGGTGAAAGATAGCGTTGCTTGTACTCTTGCTCAATCCCATAGCTCTTTTGAATGCTCTGGTCCAGAGGGTATCTAAGGTTTGTAAGTCTATAAGGAACCTGCCAGGAAATAAGGAACCTGCCAGGAAATAAGGAACCTGCCAGGAAATAAGGAACCTGCCAGGAAATAAGGAACCTGCCAGGAAATAAGGAACCTGCCAGGAAATAAGGAACCTGCCAGGAAATAAGGAACCTGCCAGGAAATAAGGAACCTGCCAGGAAATAAGGAACCTGCCCTGAGGAAATAAGGAACCTGCCAGGAAATAAGGAACCTGCCAGGAAATAAGGAACCTGCCAGGAAATAAGGAACCTGCCAGGAAATAAGGAACCTGCCAGGAAATAAGGAACCTGCCAGGAAATAAGGAACCTGCCAGGAAATAAGGAACCTGCCAGGAAATAAGGAACCTGCCAGGAAATAAGGAACCTGCCAGGAAATAAGGAACCTGCCAGGAAATAAGGAACCTGCCAGGAAATAAGGAACCTGCCAGGAAATAAGGAACCTGCCAGGAAATAAGGAACCTGCCAGGAAATAAGGAACCTGCCAGGAAATAAGGAACCTGCCAGGAAATAAGGAACCTGCCAGGAAATAAGGAACCTGCCAGGAAATAAGGAACCTGCCAGGAAATAAGGAACCTGCCAGGAAATAAGGAATCTCTATACCCTAAACCCTATGATTATTATTATTATTATGTGAGTTTATTAGAATGCTAGAATGTTGTTCAAGCTGCTTATCAGCCCTCACACTTCTCCTCTGTTCAGCTTCCTCAGCCTCAGTCAGAAGAGTTGCCTCTCCTCCCCTTGGCCTTCGGTTGCCTCCCGGAGTCCTACCTTCTCTCCTTACCTTGCCTACCTTGCTGGCTCGTCGGTTGCTCTTCGACTTCGCCGTGTTGTCTCCTCGCCCTCGCCTTGCTCTTCTTCCATGACATGTCTTCCTCTTCTTCATCATCTTCCCTCATCTCCACCCGCAGTCGCCGGTCCTTCTTGCAAGTTGTCCACCTTCAGCGAGCAGGCCAGCACATGCATCTCTGCGAATTTACTCAGTGCTATGAACAGGAAGCTAAGAGATCGACGCTCTATGTCGTCGCTCTCCGCCTCCAGGCTGCTCAAGCTCAGCAGCTGCCGTTGCCCGTGGCGAGAACGCGCTGCCCCTCCTTGCCTTCTTGCTCTCTCCTTGCACGCGAGTCCAGCGCTTGCTCTGCAGCCACTCCCCCAGCTTCTCCTTGAGAACGTTGCGTCCCACTCCCTGCTCCTCTGGCGTCTTCGCCCACTCTCCCAGCGACATGAACTCCAGGCTCCCCGGAGAGTAGAAGGTGTCGTGGAGGTTGCCAACAGCCTTGTCCAGGACCAGCTTGATTGGCTCGCTCGTCCCCGTCTCATCTTCGATGACTGCTGACAGCTCGCTGACGAGCTGCATGTCCTCTTGGCTTGAAGGAGATGCTGCCTCCATTGTGATCCTCTCCAGGTCTGTAAACTCCAGCCACTCTCCCTCGCTCTCCTCCTGTCGCTGCGCTGCGTCGCTGGTGCCCCGCTGACCAGCTGCCTCAGGCTCCATGTCGAAGCCGCCGGGTCCGTGACTGCTTCGAGCTTGGTTGCTGCGCCTTCGAGATAGAACTGAGGGCAGCTCTTTCATCATGCGTCGAGCATCCTCCGTGGAGCCGAGGAGTATGCATAGCTGGGACCCGTGTTCAAATCCTCCTCCATGTCGATGCCTTCAACTTTGATCTCGAGCCTGTTAGCGATCTCCAACAAGACTCTCTTGACTCTTGCGATGGACGTGTTGCCGCCGTTGCACAGCCCCTCCATCTCCTTCCTCGTGAAGCGAGACTTGATGATGATCTTGATCTCCTTGCCGTCCTTGCCGCCTGCCTTCTTCTGCATCCTTGATGCCTTCTTCAACTTGTTTCTGGACACAAAGCGATCAGCTGTCAGCTCAGCTCGACTCATCGCTTCGCTCTCTCGGAAAGCTCGAAATGCCGAGGCTGTATCATTCGCCTCTGGGCAGCTCGAGGAGACGATCCACTCCACCTCCCTCTGTCTCCAGATGACGTTGGCCCCTACAGCGACGAAGCCTCTTGCTGGCCTAACCAGCATGCCTGCCAGCGGCCGCTGGAGTTGGACCGCTGCAAGGGACTGGCCCAGCAGCTGATAGCGGTAGACGTCAGCAATCTCTGCTGTTGTCATGCTGCACGATGCTCACATGTACAGCTGTGAACTTGCGACCATCGATCGCGAAGTCCTCTCTTCCCTGCCAGAGCTTCTCCGCTTGTGCATTGCGGAGGAAGTCACCGGGATCTCATCAGCACTCGCCATCTCGGGTCTATACGGAGCCTTCCACATGATTGCTTTACTCTCTTGCACTGAGTCTACGATCAGTCCGATCTCTTCGAATTTCTTCTTCAGCTTCTCTTCATGGTTGACATACACCGAGGAGATGCCCAGGAGAGTCATGGAGATGAAGGAAGTCACCTCGTTGGATGCGTCACTCCATCCAGTCATTGCTTCTTGCAGAAGCTCACGTCGTGCCTGCTGACATGTCGAGCGGATGGCTTCTGCGATAGCGTCGGGGGTGCATCCCTCCACAGCCTTGCAAGCCTGGGCTGTCCTGCTGTTCGGATAACGCTTCGCGAAGCTCTTCACCCTCTCGACGAGATCAGCTTCGAGGACAGAGGCATTCACAAGTCCGCTCTGCGTGTATTGGCATGATCTCCGATACAGCAGGTTGCGAACTTCGAACATTTTCATCATACTGAAGAACCATACTTAGAAAGCTGATAAACTATACAAACCTCTCGCTTGCAGCTTCCTTGGCGCCCTGGCGGCTTCCCCTACACCACGCGTGCAGCCATGGTGCCTGAAATAACCGGCGCCTCCTAAACCCTAAACCCTTATCCGAGTTCTTACAGCCCACCCCCTACTCTTAATCTTGAAGAGGTGGGGTACTCGATGCAACCGCTCGATGGGAGGCTGCAGCAAGGGGAGGGGAACGCTTCCAACGCTTCCCGTGGGCCGTTTGGGATGCTTCTTGCATGCTCTGACCCCCATTCGGATGTCTTGAAATGGGATTTCGGGGTCAGATGTGACATTTCTGCACGCTAGCCCTGTTTTACTAGGTAGTCGCTGATTTTCTGATGAACGCATGCGCACCCAATTTCTGATCTCGCGATGCAGGCTCATACGTCACCAGGACGCAAGACCAGCAGAAGCTCGTGGTTTTTTGTGAATCTCATGCGAGTTTTGGATGATTCTTTGCCCATGATATGTGAGAGGCTGCGCTGCAGGTTCATATGAATTCATAGGAATTCAAGCCTAGACGGGAGACTGACGGGAGCCAGCCTGGCAAGCAGGAGAGGACGAGAGACTGACAGGAGCCTGGATGGGAGCCAGTCACTAGTAGGAGGCGAGCGGAGATTCTGTGGAGGACAGAGGCGGGAAGCGGCTCATAGGTTATCTGCATGCTTGTATTGATTCTAAAATTGCTGCTTCAAGGGGAGATGATGCACGGCCCCCAAGCCTTAATCACTGTGCATCACCTTGCAGCATAGGCATAGGCAGGTCAACCTAGCTGACTACAACACTACTGACTCCCTGCCGTCGCTTGTCTCAGCTTGCCACCACAGCGTCATGGAATAAGGCTACCTAACTGCCAGCACACTGCTCCCTACAGTAGCCTGCCACCACTGCAGTGTCAGGTCCTTGAAGCCCACCCACCGGATGTGCTGCGAGAGCCAGCCGGTCCTCTTCCTGCTGTTCATCGTCACCGTCACATCCTGTGGCTCGTCGGAAGCTGCAGGCCATCTACCCTGGCGCACAAGGTGCCGCTCTAGAGCTATGTCATAGTCCTCCCCGCTGATGTAACCGAGGGAGCACTTGTCGTCTAGAGCGTCAAGGGACGTCCAGTCGTCAGGGTTGTCCTTTCCTCCCACGATGAACAGATGACGGAAGGACCTGCGGATGGACTTGATGCCGAAGGTCCTGTCACCACTCCTGCACGAGGACGACTTCACCTCCAGCGGCTCTCGGCACAGCGGCAGAGGTTCACCCCGACTCGACCCGCTGACCTGTCTCTGGGGCCCAACTATGATACACCCGTCGCTCTTGCCATGCAGCCCACCTGCCTGTGCAACGTCGATCAGAAGCTGATCGGCAGGGATGCCGATGCTCAAGGCCTTCAGTGCCAAGGGAAGCTTCCCGGCAAAGTCTAGCGAGTCCCGCCTCCTCTGCGACACTTCAATCCGCATCTTCTCCTTCAAGCCCTGGACGTAGCTTGCGTTCCCCACAAGGCGAAGCAGATTCGAAGACATCAAGGCTCGCAAGATTAACTCGTCAACCTGACCTTCTCCATCTCGACACCGCGGCTCATGATCTGTGTCCAGGCACTGCAAAGCCCCTACAGCGCCGTACTGTGAGCTGCCAACAACGTGCACATCCGATGTCATGACATCATCGGCCACTGAATCTGCACCCTCTCCCGCCGCCGGACAAGGCAGGCGAGGCTCCGAAACATCAGGCCGCTTGGCTACAACAGGAGAGTGTAGCATGGATGTCTCCGCTGCCCCCGTCATCTCCGATGTCTCCGCTGCCCCCGTCATCTCCGATGTCTCCGCTGCCCCCGTCATCTCCGATGTCTCCGCTGCCCCCGTCATCTCCGATGTCTCCGCTGCCCCCGTCATCTCCGATGTCTCCGCTGCCCCCGTCATCTCCGATGTCTCCGCTGCCCCCGTCATCTCCGATGTCTCCGCTGCCCCCGTCATCTCCGATGTCTCCGCTGCCCCCGTCATCTCCGATGTCTCCGCTGCCCCCGTCATCTCCGATGTCTCCGCTGCCCCCGTCATCTCCGATGTCTCCGCTGCCCCCGTCATCTCCGATGTCTCCGCTGTCTCCGCTGATGGACAGCAAGGCGGCTGGCAACATCCGCATGATGGACTCGCTTCATCCTTGCAGGTGCGCAGGGGCACGGTATGACCGCAACAGAACGGGGACGGTGGAAAACTCAACAAGGCAGGCCAAACCATCCCAGGGAGCAGGAATGTGTGTGTAGGAAGAAAGTGACCAAGGCATGAGGAAGGAGAGGACGAAGAGCCGGGGAAGGAGGAAGGAGAGGCATGGCAATGGAAGGAGGAGCCGGGGCAAGAACAAGAGGAAGAAGGAGCATGGTGATGGAAGGAGGAGCCGGGGCAAGAGCAAGAGGAAGAAGGAGCATGGCGATGGAAGGAGGACAGGTGTGGGGGGGAGCAGCCGGGACAAGAGGGGGGGGGGCAGCCGGGACAAGAGGGGGGGAAGCAGCCGGGACAAGAGGAAGGAGCGGGGGGATGGGAGGAAGTTGAAGAGCAGGTTGGGAGACCCAAGGAGCAGGAACAAGACACAACAGGCGCTGATATCGCGTGATTCAAAAGCATTTTCGCTTTCCAGAGCCGTCGAGTTGGCTGGGGCAAGTTAAAATAACTTCAAATTAAAGTGAGGTTCAATATCTTCTTCAATATACACACCAATCTTTGAAAGATTGATGAATATAATTCAATATCTCCCTTAAGATTGAAAAATTGTCCACCCTACCCGTACGAAAAAAAACCTTCCGTCGAGTGTGGTGGAGCAGGTGGTGGAGGTTGAGGTGAAGGTGGGGACAAGGAGCTGGTGGGTAGGGGCATATGCGTTTGAGACTAGGAAGAGATATAGAGAATATCGATGATAGGCTAGGTAAAGTCTCCCCTTGCTACTAATTTTAGTGGGGTCGCTTGGGAAAACATGCCGGAACTGCGTTTCGCTCATCCTTGATTTCAAAATCTTCTTCGATATAAACAGCAGTCTTTGAAATATTGAACAATATATTCAATACCTTTCTTAAGATTGAAAGGTTGTGCACCCTACCCGTGCGAAAAAAACCTTGGTCGAGCCAGTCGAGATGTCAACATTTAAATGGGGGTGGGTGGTGGAGGTAAAGGTGGAGCGCTGGCAAAAAAACCTTTGTCCTTGCTCACCCTACCCGAGTACCTGTCAAACGATTGGTTGTACCACCTCAAACACCTTCGCTCTCTCACCCTCGTTGAATGCTACTAGTGTCTCACTTATAAAATCGAATCGCTCTCACCGGCATGATTCGAGTCCCCTGCCTCCCTCCTTCATTCGACTACCCCTACCCGCTATTTGCCTACATCCCCAAATCTCCACCTACCCCACCCTCTGTTCTCAACCTCCGCAATGCCGTACAACTGCCCTAATTGCCAGGCAAGGAGCAGCTGCGATGAGATGCTGTTACCTTGAGTGACATGTTTGATGATGGAGACGTTTCCTTTGCTCCCCCGCATCTGATCCTTCCATCATTCAACTCCTTTCTTGGCGGCTCCTTCACTTCCTCATAACACTTTTTTGACCTTCTGACTTGTGTTTCTCCAGATCGTGATCGAATATGATACCAACGACAGCACAAAATGCGTAATTTGAATAGCTTCCAGTAGGCGTCACCTGACTTTGAGTGTTTTACGTTCTGCCGTGAATTGCAATGTTGTTATTCGGAAGGCGGTAAGCATCAGTCTGTGCAGCATATGCTCAGGGAACGATGGGACTGACATGTTTTGGGCAAATTCCTGGTTTTTCCTTGCTTGCATCGGTTAAATTCGTCTTCATAGGGAGTAAGTGTCATATCATATGATGCGCTCAGGGAACAATTTTGGCTGACATTTCATTTTGCAAATCTCATCGGTTATTGCTCGGATGGACTGTCGATGATGCTGGATAGTGGGTAAGTGACGAATATGTACCATGCTCTCAGGGGATCATTGGACTGACATGTATTTTGCAAATTCCTGGTTTTTCCTTACTTGCATGGATTAAATTCGTCTTCATAGGATGTAAGTGTCATATCATATGATGCGCTCAGGGGATGATTGGACTGACATGTATTTTGCAAATTCCTGGTTTTTCCTTGCTTGCATCGGTTAAATTCGTCTTCATAGGAAGTAAGTGTGATATCATATGATGCGGTCAGGGAACGAATGGCTGTGACATGTGTTTTGCAAATTTCCTTCGCCTTTGGCTCGGATGGATGGAATGGGTCTGGATAGGATGTAAGTAACGCTTATGAAATTATGCGGTCAAGGGACGGTTGGCTGACATTTGATTTGCAATTGCTACTCTTTCCTGGCTTGTTTGGATGGAATCTGTCTTCGAAGGGAGTAAGTGTTTTTTCATATCATATGATGTGCTGAGTGGACGATTGGCTGACGTGTTTTATCGAAAACGAAATCACTCCCATTGGTTACTTGCCGGGATTTGAAACGATTATCTGGATAGGGAGTGAGTAGCATTTGCAGTGATGCGGTCAGAAGACGATTGGCTGACATTTCATTTTGCAAATCTTATCGGTTATTGCTCGGATGGACTGTCGATGATGCTGGATAGTGGGTAAGTGACGAATATGTACCATGCTCTCAGGGAACGATATGGCTGACATCTTTTTATGTGTTTTGTTTTCACCCGGTGAAACAAAATGGGGCTGGATAGATTGTGAGTATCTTGATTGCAAGATGCGGTCAGGGGACGATATGGCTGACGTGTTCTTTGCACTTTTGTGGTGTCTCATCGGATGGGTCATGAATGTGGCTGAATAGAATGTAAGTAACAATAATGAAAGATGCGGTCAGGGGACGATAGACTGACATGTCTTGCTTCCATTTGGTCTGTTGCGGTTGGGATGGACTTGCTTTGGGTCTGGATAGGCGGTAAGTATCTTGATTGAAATGATGCGGTCAGGGGACAATGGGCTGATATTTTGTGTGTATTTTTGGGTTTTCGTATCGGCTGGGGTGTGAATGGGATTGGATAGTATGTAAGTAACAATCTTGAAAGATGCGGTCAAGGGACGATTGGCTGACATGTGGATTTGCAAATTTCTGGGATTATCGTCGGTCGGGTCGTGAATGTGGCTGGATAGTATGTAAGTAACAATGATGAAAGATGCGGTCAGGGGATGGTTGGACTGATATTCATTTTGAAAATTCCTGGTTTCTCCTTACTTGCATGGACTGAATTCGTCTTCATAGGGAGTAAGTGTCATGTCATATGATGCGGTCAGGGGACGATATGACTGACATTTGTTTTTGCGATTTCCTTTGTTTCTGCTCGAATGGATTGTTCATGGGTCTCAATAGCGAGTAAGTAATGATTATGAAATTTGCGGTTAAAAGTTTTAGGGGACGATTGGACTGACATTTTCTGTGTCTTTTTCTTGATTTCTAATCGGATGGGTTGTTGATTGGGCTGGATAGCGAGTAAGTTATGATTATAAAATATGCGGTCAGGGGACGATTGGCTGACATTTTGTTTTGCAATTTCTTTGTCTCTGCTTGAATTTTCTGGGATAGTATGTAAGTGACAAATGCAATTGATGCGGCACAGAGATGGTTTGGACTGACATGCCTGTTTTTCCCTTTCCAATGGCTGTGACTCACATCGTCAGTGCTGTGTAAGAATTGCCTAATTCGCCGTCCATGATGTTTCTGAACTTGTGTTGTTGCATGTTGGTGGTGAAAACAACCATGGCAGAATGTAAGTTGAACAGATCGGAAGAGATAGACCTGTCGCTAAATGTGATGATTGACTTCGTTGTTCAGTGTGCCAAGTCGAGCGGATGGTCCAGTTACCATAAGGTGCTCCATTGTACAAGTGATGAGACCTGACGGATGGTGTCGGTAGTACGGATGCAGCCATTGCAAGTCCCGGAAGGAAAAGGAGGAGCGAGACCGGAAGGAAAAGGAGGAGCGAGACCGGAAGGAAAAGGAGGAGCAGGAGCGGAGGGAAAGGGAGGAGAAAGAACTGATCAAGAACAGACAGGAATCGTGTATTCGTGGTAGACATACTGGGTATCCAATATCAAGCTCACTTTTTTCATTTGTAATTTAGGCGAATCATTCCATGCATGGTCAGGGAGAGAGATGATAGTCACAGTCTCCATTCTGTCGAAGCTGCTTGCTTTCGGTGAAGCAGTTGATCAGCTGATTTCTTACACTTTAGGGAAAGTCGATAAAAGTGGATCTAGTAACGACGGAGAAGTCATCATGGTCAAGCGAAGATTGCAACGCATTCCAACGGAGCTTGAACGTGTCAACAGTGCACAGTGCAAGCCATCAAAGGCATTCCAAGACGTGATTGAAGCGATCAGTGTACTAGTCAGTGACGTGACGAAGTGGGCTGGAAAGACATCAGTGAAGAAGAAATGGGGCTCAACAAAGTATCGGAGATTGTTAGCAACCGACATGCAGGAGCTGGATTCCTGTATCAGCACCTTGAATCTGCTTGTCACAGCGCAAATGGATCGATCTGTCGCTTTGTCGAAAACAGGAACGTCGAGTTTCGACAGCGAAGCTACCGCGTGGGCTGATGCGCCGGTGAAAACCACACAGGCGCCACCCGTTGACCATCATCACAGGAGACTGTGGCCATAAAGAGAAGCTCGACCACAGGAAGCTTTAGCGAAGCGAAGGATGATCAAGTCTCCAAATCTGCATTCACCGGGGCAAACGACGAAAGGAAATCTATCTTCTGAAATTTGATCGGTTCTACTGAGTGTCACGTCCAGATTGCTTGTTTCGGCCTTGATGGAAGCCGATTTGATGCGTGACCAGATTGAGCTGCTAATTCCCAAGTTGAATCAACTGGGGGTATATTCAAAGGAAGACCTTGACTTGGTAGAAGATGCTTCCGAGCTCGGAGATTTGGGCATGCCCTTGATGGTGATGAAGAAGCTTCGCAAATACTTTGTAGATGAAGAATTCTAACTTATCGGATTGGAATGATCTTCATCTGTAGGAGTCAAGAAAAATTGGAAATCCCTCTTCAGGCGAATCGCAGTCAGTAAGACAGCACGCCATTACCAAGTTGGT